GTATTAGGTTTTGAACAATGCAGGGTTATTTTCTTAGATTTCCAGTCAACTTATTCAGATCTATGTCTGTTCCACGTTTCATAATTTTAAAAATGACTATGACCCTATTGTGTGTCTTAGCATGTGGGAGGGAACAGCTCTTCTCTTGATTCCATTTTTATAATATTAGTGTGGCTTTGCACTAACATTTATTTATTTATTTATTTAAGACAGAGTCTCACTCTGTCGCCATTGCAACCTCCGCCTCCCGGGTTCAAGCAATTCTCGTGTCTCAGCCTCCCAAGTGGCTGGGATTACAAGTGGGCCATCACTCCTGGCTAATTTTCCTATATTTAGTAGAGATGGGGTTTCGCCATGTTGCTCAGGCTGGTCTTGAATTCCTGACCTCAAGTGTTCTGCCCAACTTAGCCTCCCAAAGTGCTGGGATTATAGGCTTGAGCCACCGTGCCTGGCTTGACATTTATTTTTCTGAAGGAATTTTCAAATAGTTTTATCAAATTTAGAGTTGATTCACTGGAATTGTAAATATAATACAATATTACATTATTGAGTATGATTAAGTATTGAGGTTATAATTGGAGGTTGAATGGACATCATTAGCATGTCAGGCCATCCCAGCCAAGACTGTACACTGCTCCCCATGTGTTCAGATCATCTTCTACATTTTTATTAGTAGGTATTTAAAATTTTTTCTTTGGAGTTATGGCATGTTTTTGGTTAATATCTAGATATTTTATAGCAGATTTTTTTCAAAGTGTGATAAGAGGACCTCTGCAGGGTGGTCCCTGAAGTCCTTATTTTTCAAATTTACATGTGAGAATATATTTTCATAATATGCCTCCACATATTGACGCAGACTGAATGAAGAGGCAGATTAAAGCATCAAACTGTTTCCTGTCAAGCCAGGACATATGATGTATTTGCTAAAATGTCAAACAAGGCCACTCTTCTCATGAAATGCTTTTTTCCTAATGTGGTTATTTGCCTGAAAATGTTCCTTATATTAGCATGCAAGAGGTTTATTACTGCTCTTTAAAAAAATTTTTTTGAGATGGGGTCTCACTCTGTTGCCCAGGCTGGAGTACAGTGGCGTGATCTCGGCTCACTGCAATCTCTGCCTCCCGGGTTCAAGTGATTCTCGTGGCTCAGCCTCCCGAGTGGCTGGGATTACAGGTGCATGCCCCCACACCCAGCTAATTTTTGTATTTTTTGTAGAGACGTGGATTTACCATGTTGGCCAGGTTGGTCTCAAACTCCTGACCTCAAGTGATCCACCCACCTCAGCCTCCCAAAGTGCTGGGATTACAGGCATGAGCCATCATGCCTGGGAGTGCTCTTTTAAATATACTAATAACTAAATATTTTTAATGATTTTCAATTGTCATTTCCCATATGGTAAAAATGGATAGTTCTAAACCACATAAACAAAAGCCCTTTAGAGTGCTAGTAACTTTGAGGTGTAAAGGGATCCCAAGTGATGTTTCTTTATATTAATTGTTTGTGTTGCTATTGGGAATGTTCTCTTTCTCTGTATTCAAATTCTACTTCTTAAATGCTTGTTACTGGTGTGGTACTAGGAGGAACACCGTGATTTTTGCCAGCTGACCTTGCCTTCTGCATCACTGGGCTCTGTTATTGTTCTAACAGATGATGTCATCATTCTTTTATCTTTTCTAGGTAGATGATCACGTCTCTTCCCTTCCAGTCCTTAGATACCTTAGATGCCTGGTTTCTTTTTCTTGCCTTATACCATCACTCACGACGTTCAGCTCCATGTTACAGAACAGCAGAGTCAGTGAGTATCCTTGGCTTTTTCTTGATCCTAAAGTGATACATCAAAAACTTTCTTCTTTAGAGTTGTATTTGCTAATTTTGTGCTATATATTCTATATCTAGCTAAGAAAGTCTCCCTGGATTTTGTGTTGTGAAGTGTTTTTTAAAAAATCATAATAGGAGTAGAGTTTTAGAGAATGTATTTATGCCTTGATTGAAATAGTCGTGATTTTTCCTTTTAAATCGATTCCTGTGATAAACTGTATGATAGGTTTTCTGATGTTAACCAATCTTGTCATTTATGGAATAAACCAATACCACTTGATCATGGTAAACTATTTTTAATACACCATTAGATTTGACCAGGTTATGTTTTATTCTGGAATTTTAAATCTGCCTGGATAGGTGAAGTAGGCGTATAATTGTCTCTTTTTTTGGTGAAGATTCTTACCTGATTTTAGACCAAGATTGTATTAACCTGAGGAGGTGTGCTGGTCAGATTTCCTAACTCTTCTGTTTTTTTGGAGATCATGTATAAGATACTAACCAACTGTTTTCTTAACAGTTTAATAGTACTTACCACACTTAAATAAAATCCACTGGGGCAAAGATTTTAGAGAGAGATGATCTTTGACTACCATTTCAATTTCTCTAAAGCTTATTTGAGCATATAGGATCCCTTTTTTCTTACACCAGTTTTGGAATTTTATATTTTTCTAAGTACTTGTTCATTTCATCTACAATATAAATTTATTATTTATTTTACTGTTTTTATTAATTTAAAAATAACCATTGTCTCTGTCATTATTTCCCATTTGTAATTTTGGGTTCTGTTATTGGTACCTTCTCCTTGTTTATTTCTATCTTATTAATTTTTTCCAATAACTTGATTTTGATTTTATTAAGCATGATTTTTTTCTTGAGGCAGTGTCTTGATAAAGGTATTTTGAACTGTGTATTTCCTTCAAAGTGCTATTTTAGGTTAAAATGTTGACATTCAATATTTATCAATTAATTCTAAATATTCCTCTATTTTATAATTTACTGTTGAAACTGAAGATTATTTAATTACATAGTTATCTTCCAAATACATGAGATTTGTAAAGCTATTTCTCCCCTATTGATTTTTAATGTTAATTCATTATAATCTATATCACATTATTATGCTTTGGAATTAAATAAATGTTTATATCCTAATGAAATGTCAATTTTTGTGAAAGTCACTTAGTGGTTGAAAAAATGTTAATTTTCTTTTTGGTGAAGACTCTAATATATCTAATAGATAATTGAAGGGGTGGCCTGACCCTCTACACCTGTGGGCGTTTCTCATTAGGTAGAACGAGAGACTTGAGAAAAGAAATGAGGCACAGAGACAAAGTATGGAGAAAGAAAAAGTGGGCCTAGGGGACCGGCGCTCAGCATACAGAGGACGCACGCCCACACCGGTCTCTGAGTTCCCTTAGTATTTATTGATCGTTATCTTTACCATCTTGGAAAAGGGAAGTGGCAGGATAATAGGATCATAGTAGGGAGAAGGTCAGCAGTAAGACATATGAATAAAGATCTCTGTGACATGAATAAGTTTAAGGAAAAGTGCTGTGCCTTGATATGCATACGCAAACATCTGCATAAACCTTTTTAGTGCATAAAGAGCAGCATTGCCGCTAGCACGTCCCACCTTCAGCCCTAAGGAGGTTTTCTCCCATCTCAGTAAATAGAACATACAATCGGGTTTTACATCGAGATGTTCCGTTGCCCAGGGACGGGCAGGAGACAGATGCTTTTCTCTATCTCAACTGCCAAGAAGCCTTCTTTCCTCTTATACTAGTCCTCCTCAGCACAGACCCTTCACGGGTGTCAGGCTGGAGGACAATCAGGTCTTTCCCTTCCCACGAGGCCATATTTCAGACCACCGCAAGGGGAGAAACCTTGGACAATACCTAGCTTTCCTAGGCAGAGTTCCCTGTGACCTTCCGCAGTGTATGTGTCCCTGGGTACTTGAGATTAACAGAATGGTGATGACTTTTAACCAGCAAGCTGCCTTCAGGCACTTGTTTAACAAAGCACACCCTGCACAGCCCAAAATCCATTAAACTTTGAATCACCACAGCACGTGTCTCTTGCAAGGACAGGGTTGGGGGTAGGGTCACAAATTAACAGCATCTCAAATACAGAACAAAATGGAGTCTCTTATGTCTACTTCTTTCTATATAGACACAGTTATAGTCTGATCGCTCTTTCTTTTCCCACAGATAAGGTCTGGATATTATTAATTGCTTTGTAATTAACAAATTGCATTTCCTAACTCTGTCAAAATTTCTAACTATAACAAATTGCATTTCCTAACTCTGTCAAAATTTCTAACTATAATAATCTATCTGCCTGTATATAGATTGTGGTGGCTCACACCTGTAATCCCAGCACTTTGGGAGGCCAAGGAGGGCAGATCACCTGAGGTCAGGAGTTTGAGACCAGCCTGGCCAACATGGTGAAACCCCGCCTCTGCTACAAAAATTAGCTGGGTGTGGTGGCATGCACCTGTAATCCCAGCTACTAGGGAGGCTGAGGCAGGAGAATCAGTTGAACCTGGGAGGGGGAGGTTGCAGTGAGCTGAGATCGCACCATTGCACCCCAGCCTGGGTGACAGAGCAAGACTCCGTCTTAAAAAAAAAAAATCAATCTGATGTTGATTTGGCTATTGCTATCTATCTCACTGAAGTTTTGTTGATTATTTATTAATTAATATTCCAGGATATATAGTTATATAGATTTACAGTATTTATGCTGGTTGCTTTGTTCTTTTAATGGGTATACATATTATTCTCTGTCCCTTAGTGTGTGTGCATGTGTGTGTGTGTGATTTAAAAATCTTAGTATATATTGAAAAAGTAAACATTTTTCTTCATAGTCAAAATAACCAGATAACACTTAAAAAATAATTAACTGGGCATGGTGGCTCATGTGTATAATCCCAGCACTTTGGGAGGCTGAGACAGGAAGATCGCTTAAGGCCAGGAATTAGAGACCAGTTTGGGCAACAAAACAAAACCCTGTCTCTACGGAAAAAAAAAAAATTAAATTAGACAGATGAGGTGGCACACACCTGTAGTCCCAGCTATTTAGGAGGCTAAGGAGAAGGATCACTTGAGCCCAGGAGTTCCAGGATGCAGTGAGTCATGATCCTACTACTGCACTCTAACCTGGGGGACACAGTGAGACCTTATCTCTAAAAAAATTCATAATTTGATCAATAATAATGCTTTACTATTACTCATACCTAATTATTCATTCATACTATAATCAAAATGTTCTCTATTGCCTTAAAAATACTTACAGCGGATTACGTAGATCAAGATTCAACTAGTCCCCTATGTTGCATTCAGTGGTTATATCCTGGAATCTCTCTTATCCTTTGAATGAGCCTTTATTCAATGAGACCAGACCAATTGTTCTGTGGAATTATCCACCTTCTGAATTTTTCTGCAAGCTTCCTCACAGTGTCACTTGCTTATTCCTCCATCTTCTGTACAATGATTATTCTTTTTGGCTAGTGGGCATCTTTTCAATCTAGTACCTGCAGGCTTTTAATATTATCCCATTACTTAGTGAAAGTTTCATTTCACACTGGTACAAGATATCCAAAGCTTTCTTCCATGTCCAGACCACAGATCAGCCATGTCTCAAGGAACTCTGGTTCCCCAGAGTGGCATATGGTATTAGAGACATTGTGATCACTGTTTCCTTAAATTCCACCTTTTATTATTATTAAGATTGCAACCTCAGCTTTCAGTTGGTGCATATTTGTCTCACATGTATCCAGCCTTTTCTTTTCAAATTTTCTGTTCAGTTTTTTAGAATAGTAAAAGTAACATTAGAAATAAGATGGCATAAATAAGTACCAATAAAACAGTATTAAAATAAATGTAAATGGGTTAAATAAGCAATTAAAAGATAAATACACTCAGGGAAAAAAAATTTTAAACCTCAAGATCAAAACATATGTTTTCTAGAACTGGCACATTATCAAGAGACTCTCACCCTGATCATCTATGCGTGTCTCTAATGGCTCCAAGTATTGAACCTTTTCTTTATGTTAGCCGGTGTTACTAGAAACCCAATTAGTATCCAAAATCTGACTTGATCATCTAGTATATTGATCTCATTTGATCTTTGTCACATTGCTGAATATTAAGAACTATTATTATTTACTCCATTTTACAGATGAGGAAAGTGAGACCCAGAAAATTCTGCCAGTTGTTGAATAGCATAGAGCTGTTGAGTTGCCATTTGGTCTGTGCTGGAGTCTGTGTTTTAACCACTGTCATTTAATTTTGTTTCTAATCTCACCAGATGCAGTATCCATGCCTGCTCAGAACTACAGCACCATGTCTGAATTTATCCTCTTTGGCTTCTCAGCCTTCCCCCAGCAGCTCCTGCCCGTCTTATTCCTGCTGTACCTCCTGATGTTCCTGTTCACATTGCTGGGCAACCTTCTCATCATGGCCACAATCTGGATTGAACACAGACTCCACACACCCATGTACCTCTTCTTGTGTGCCCTCTCCATCTCTGAGATTCTGTTCACTGTTGCCATCACCCCTCGCATGCTGGCTGATCTGCTCTCCACCCATCGTTCCATCACCTTTGTGTCTTGTGCCAGTCAGATGTTCTTCTCCTTCATGTTTGGCTTCACTCACTCCTTCCTTCTCATGGTCATGGGCTATGATCGTTACGTGGCCATCTGCCACCCACTGCGTTACAACGTGCTCATGAGCCCCCATGACTGTGCCCATCTTGTGGCCTGGACCTGGGCTGGTGGCTCAGTCATGGGGATGATGGTGACAATGATAGTTTTTCACCTCACTTTCTGTGGGTCTAACGTGATCCACCATTTTGTCTGTCACGTACTTTCCCTCTTGAAGTTGGCCTGTGGGAACAAGACATCACCTGTCATCATGGGTGTGATGCTGGTGTGTGTCACAGCCCTGATAGGCTGTTTATTCCTCATCATCCTCTCCTATGTCTTCATTGTGGCTGCCATCTTGAGGGTTCCCTCTGCTGAGGGCCGGCACAAGACTTTCTCCACATGTGTATCCCACCTCACTCTGGTGGTCGTGCACTATAGTTTTGCCTCCCTTATCTACCTCAAGCCCAAGGGCCTCCATTCTATGTACAGTGACGCCTTGATGGCCACCACCTATACTGTCTTCACCCCCTTCCTTAGCCCAATCATTTTCAGCTTAAGGAACAAGGAGCTGAAGAATGCCATAAAAAAAAACTTTTTCAGAAAGTTCTGCCCTCTAAGCTCCTAATGGCCAGTTTGGTGGTGATAAAATACAATAGAAGGGCCGGGGATAATAATGTGTATCTCCGTAGGACTGTTGTAAGGGTTCAGGTATGTGAAAATATGTGTTTGATACATACTAGCTATTATTTCCCTCCCCTTTTTGCTTAGTAGGCTCCTGTGATCATAATCTCTTGTTTATGAGCCATTGTGATAAACTTTATCCCATGATCTGTGCCTAGGAATGTGTTTTCTATCTATGGACAGGTGGAGATCATCACGTGGGTGTGTCTGGGCACTTATGAACATGGTTCTTCTTGAATGGACAGGCAAAAAGTATTTTCTTTACCCCTAGTGTGAGAAGAAGCAAGAATATCATCATAGTCATAAATTCCACCAAGTATTGAAGTTTTTCTATGTATCCGGTACTGTGTCTAGTGTTTTACAAGTATTATCCTTTTAATTAGAAGAAATGTACAAAGGAAAATAAACTACGTGTCTCAGAGAAACTGGTTTCTTTTCCTTTTCTTTTTCTTTTCTTTTTTTTTTTTTTTTTGAGAAGGAGTCTTGCTCTGTCACCAGGCTGAAGTGCAATGGTGCAATCTCAGCTCACTGCAACCTTCCCATCCCTGGTTCAAGTGATTCTCCTGCCTCAGCCTGGCGAGTAGCTGGGACCACAGGCCCGTGCCACCAGGCCCAACTAGTTATTGTATTTTTAGTAGAGGCGGGGTTTCACCATGTTGGCCAGGATGGTCTCAATCTCTTGACCTCTTGGTCTGCCCGCCTTGGTCTCCCAGAGTGCTGGGATCACAGGCGTGAGCCACCGCGCCAGGCCGCCGAAATTGGTTTCTTATTTAAAGTTCCTCACTGTCTTTGGGAGACATATACCCTAGGTGTGTGTGTGTGGATATTATGTTGAATAGAGTGAAGGATATCAGAATGCAAAAGTGGAGAGAGAGCAAGGGGAGAGAGAAAGAGAGAGAGATACAGAGACAGGAGAAAGGCAAATAGCAAGGCCCACTGTGTCACCCCATGGAATTTAGGTTGACTCCGAAAAAGGATACAAACCAACAAGTCTTACATGCTGCTTGCTGTGCCTGAGTAATCAACTACCCTTTGTCTCTGACCCAGGGGTCTTACGTCTTCTATCAGAATGCATGAAACAGTAACTAACAGTAAGTTAACTTATCAGCTTGCAAGTAAGAGAAACACCCTAGGCACATCACAAAATCCTGACCCCAAATTCTTCACTTCTCCTTGTATTTACACCCTTTGCACAGTAGTTTTTCAGCAGCTTTCATTAATAGATAGATTCTATTTTACACCCTTTGAGTCTGTGCTGGACATTTGACTTTCTTTGGCCAATACAGTGTGGTGAAAATGATGATGTAATAACTGTAATAGCCCCAAGCCTGGTTGAACTTTGAAGCATTGTAGAGACAATGTCCAGAAACATTGCAGCCTCCTCTCAGTTTCTCGGAAGCCAGTCTCTGCCATGTGAACAAAAGGGTGCCTTCTGGAGGCAGAGAATTACATGGGGAAAGTCCAGGTGTCACAGCTGAGGCCATCCCACATCAGCCTGAAGGTACTGAAGCCCCAAACATGTGAATGAACTGAGCCAGGATTAGCAAAGCTGCCTACCTGATCCCCAGCTGCTCATGTACCAAGAGTGATTCCTTCCACATCCAGAAGAACCAACCAACTGTCTCACAGACTCATTAGCAATCATAAACCTCTATTGATCTAAACCAATGGGTATTGATGCAGTTTGTAATCAGTAATGGCTACTATGCAATCTTCATCTTTACTGTCTTGCATTTACATGGCTTCTGTGAAATAAACACGGAATCTAACACCTTCTGAGGGCCTACTATGTGCTAGGGACATGATTCTTTTGCATTATCTTACCACCTTTCAAGCAGGGATTATCCTCTCCATTTTACAGATGAGGAAACCAAGGCTCAGAAAGGAAGAGCAATGGCCCAATGTCATCCAGAGGAGCCAAAATTCCAGACCAGATCTGTCCATGCTTCCTCCACCCCAAGACTCCAGCTGGGACCCAGAGTTCAAGGGACTCACAAGCATGATGGTCGCACTCTTGTTGAAGATCTTTATATAGGGCTTCAGGATGTTGAAATGAAAGGCAGGCGTCAGCATCTGACAGTGGCAGCTCCACTTGTCCCCGCCACTCAGCAGTATCCCTTCTCCTAGTAGGGCAGCCAAGGAGAGTGGGCAAGAGCAGCACTTTCCCCCACCCCTGCCCAAGGTCATCCCCAACCCCTTTCACCTGCAGGTACTCACCCAGGCAGGGCTTCAGAACCTGATGGAGAGATCATCTTGGATGCAATGGCAGCTGACATGAATGAGGACCATCAGGGGCCATGTAGAGGGCAAGAGAGGAACTTCACGTGTAGGGCAAGGCTCCCTATCAGCATTTTCCCCACTCCATGCCCAGCGTAGCAGGAAGGGGGCCAGGGGCAAAGGACAAAGGAGGATAGAGGAAGAAGGACCAGCCCAGGCTGCAACAGCACAGTAAAGCTATGACACAACCTAACAGGGCACAGCACACCCCAGCACCCTTTGACATGTCTCCTGCACGGCCCAACATGTTCTGCAACACACAAGCACAGCTCCACACTCTACGAAATACCTTTAAAGGAGCCTAGGACACCCTGTCTGCCCCAGCACTCTCTGTCATCTCCTGAAATGGACCTGGGACCTGGAGCATGTCTCCAACATATGTTAACATGCCTGACATGGCCACAACATACATGATGAGCCCTAAATGACACATCATCTGACATGGACCTAAGATAGTCTGGCATGACCACTGTGTACCCAACAGGCCCCAGATAGGATTTAAATATGATTTATTAAATGTCCCGGACATGTCCCAGGTGTAACCAAGACTTTTCTTCAAGTGTGATTGCAATGGATTCTGAGACCTGGCTCAGGAAGACTAAAATAATAACTCTGACAATTCTCAAAGGGACCCTGGGTCCCAGACCCTGGACAAGCCACAAACATGGTCAAGAGATGACAAGGAGGAGAAAAGACAATTTCAAACCACGTGTCAGAGAAGAACCAGAAAGTCTAGCACATGCCCCAAGTGTCCTTGGCCACAGCTGTGCCACACACATGATGACTTCTCCATATGATCCCAGGTAAAGCATACAAGATATAACCAGGTATAATATAGAAATCATAGGCTATTTATGGGACCCCTTGGGGAAAGGTGAGCTTTTTGACAAGAACTGAGCTTTCAAGACCCATGGTTGACACCATAAGGGAAGGGCTGCCTCAAAAGAAAAAGTGATGCAGAGAAACAGTGAAATTAAGAGGAGACAAAATTCTGATGCTGTTCATTGACACCTGGATCCAGCCATGCCTGAAGACCACTTCTCTGGACTTTACACTCCTTTGATTCCCTTTATTTGCTTATAGTGCACAAAGTTGAGCTTCCATCACTCACAAGTGAAAGAGACCTCAGCAGCCAGGGAGAGCCGGTGACCTGCACAGAGTCACTAAGCATTTTGGGGTCAGAGCCACAGTTTCTGTGGGACACTGCTCCTTCCCTTGCTCAGCCTGGTCTGTCCAAGGACAGGAAGAGCAGAGAATAAAGGAAGATCAACAGGCTGGTGTGGGATCTCCTACTGGAGATTCTTGAGGCCTACAGGAGGGAAGCAGTGAACACAGGGTGGACGAGTGACAGGATGAGGTAGAAGGAACTGACCCATCATAGGTGGACGTCGCATGAATAGCAGCCCAGATTCTCCACCAGCCACAAGTCCTCCTACTGCTCTGGGTTGAGGGATGGACAAGGTTGGTGCCAGGACTGGTTGGGCCTCCAAATACTAATGATGCTCATTGCGTCATCCTACACCACACTTAAAAAAAATCCCTACCCATAGGTCCAGATCCAGCTCCAACAACTCCTCCTCCAGGAAGCCTTCCAATCTGCCCCAGCAGACCCCTAGTTCTCCTCTGGGTTGTCACACCCTTCTCTCTCTTGCCCATTCCTGATCCCATGAATTTGGGGATGTCTCTGTCGAGATCCGTCTCCTCAAGTGTGGAGGTTCCTTCAGGACAGGGCTCTGGATTGAGACTTCTTGGGACCCCAGTGGTTCCCAGAACACCAGGACAGGGGTTCAGATGGCAATGGAGGGAGAAGACATTGAGATGAAGTTGGCGAATTCATGAAGGAAAGCAGAAGATGCCTCTTCTTCTTTCAATGGAGGGAGAAGAGAGGGCGGGGGCTGGGAACTGCAGGGGCTTCACAGAAGCTTAGGGGATAAGAAACTGGAAGCCCTTGGATGGAAGCCCCCAGCACCAACCCCCGCAAGCTCTGCATGGATACCGGAGGCATTGGTGATAGACCGGATGATGTTAGGGTGGTATAAAACAATGAAGGGGAAGATGGAATCCATCCACATCCTAAAGTCCCGGGAATAGGTGGCCGACATCTGGGTCAAATTCTTCAAGCCCTCCTCCACAGCAGTGATCTGAAAGCAAGTCAGGGGCTGTCACCCCGTGATGGTTAATTCTAGGTGTCCACTTGACTGGGCTAAGGGATGCCCAGATATCCGGTCTAGCATTATTTCTGTGTGCGTCTATGTGGGTGTTTCAGGAGAGATTAGCATTTGAAGGTAAACTGCAGAAGGAAGATTTACCCTTCCCAATGTGGGTGGATGTCATCCAATCCATTGAGGGTATGAACAGGACAAAAAGGCAGAGGAAAGGAGGAATTTGCTCTCTCTTCTGCAGCTGGGACATCCATCTTCTCCTGCCCTTGGAACTCCAGGTTCTCAGGCCGTTCTGGACTCAGGCTGAATTTACACCACCAGAGTCCCTGGCTTCTGGCTTGCAGATGGTATATCATGGGACTTCTTGGCCTCCATCATCACATTATCCAATTCCCATAATAAATTCTTATCTCTCTGTCTCTTTCTGTCTCCATACATACATGCATTGGAGGTGAGAATAAACAGATCCTATCTGTTTCTAGGGAGGACCCTGAGTAATGCACCTCCCCGGAAGGAACCACAGCTAGTCCCCCTGCAGCCACCGGACATGGTGCAGCGTCTGCAGTGAGCAGCGTGTCTGGATTCTGAACAGCTGCAGGGGATTTCTGCTGACCTCTGCTCCTTCTCTCTTGGGGCTGTCCCAGGATCCAGGGAGAAGACAAGCTGTCTGCTCAAGAGGATGTGTTTTCTCGTCCTGGAAATGATTTCAGTCTGGGGATTGCTATACGGGAAGGTCCCCATGGGAGGACTGGGGCAGCAGTGTGGCCTCAGGACATATCCCTAGGGCTGGTTCCCACATCCTTTTGTGTCCTGGCTGGTCCACATGGGCACTGGTTCCTCCCACAGATGAAGGGTCTGCATGCTGAGGGTCCTCCGTTCTCAGC